GAATCCAAGTAATGGTCGATAAAACTTCGACATATTAGAAAGTAGTATTATAGATTTCCTTTTGATCAAATGTAAATGTAGGTATAATGACATAGCAACAATCATTTAACGCAAGTATCTTTTTTAATAATAAAAAATATGTTTTTTGTTGAAAAAAAGATACTTGTTAAAAAACTTAGTTGGTTAACTTTAAAACTTTGTTGGTTATGACCAACTACAAATATCTCACAAAGTATACATTTTCTATTTATGATTTTGAAACATTCTTTGATATATCTTCGTAGTCCAAAGGTCGAACCAACAAAAATAATTTTTAATAGGTTCTTAAAAAGCGGAGATCTGAGTTAAGAAAGATAAAAAATACAAGCGAATTGAGACACTCCTCCTTTTTGAAGTCTGTAAAAAAATCATTAGCAATTTTACATTTACATAAAAAAAAAACATTTTCTGACAATTCATAATTTTCAGAAACCTTATGGAAGACGTCGTAATAATAAGATTAAAACAAAATATTTACACGGTAGTTCTCTGAGCAAAAAGTAAGGAATTGCTATGAACAGCCGTTTTGAATTATTATTGACAATGTTTTAGGGAGGGATAAAACGACAATTGTTTGTTAATTCAGTTAGAACTTTCAATTTTTATTCGATATATCTCCCACCTAACGTATATATCGTAATATATCGTAAATTGAACGTATTATAACATAATGTTTGAACTTCATTCCAGTACTAGTGTCAGTACATCTTCCAAATTTCTTTGCATCCTACTAGCTATCGGTACTAGCATCAAGGGTTGTACAAATTTTGTACTCCTCGGTCGTATTTCTCTGTAGAAAATGACGTAATCTAGATGGAAGGTGAGCGACATATTCACATAAAGCGATCGCGCGGCGCTAAAACTCTTGATTTGCATTAGGAAAGTGAAAGAGCGCTCGTCTCGGAAGACGTAGCAAGATGCATTGGAACAAACAAGTTCAACGCGTAACATCCGACTTGTGCAAGTAGGGGAGCCATAATTTCTAATTCATCTTGGATAAAGTCTATTTACTTCGACAGTACAAATTTTTCCGTGATAGCTCAGTGTCAGGGCGCTCGCCTTTAATTCAATATCGACCTACCTGAGTTCCATCCCCGGTACCGGCACCTATTTTTAATATTAAGTGCTGACTTATCACGTGCTCCGCGGTGAAGGAAAAACATTGTTTGATAACCTCCATATTTTAGAAATAATTAGAAAAATATAAATTTTGAAGATATGTGAAATCCGCTAATCCACAGTGGGGTATACTAGCATCGAGCAAATTCTAAAAATTACAAAAGTTAATACTACTACATTAAATAACAGCCAATTTTGTATAGTCTGTTATCTTTGTATGATGTTTTTGGTGCTCAAGTATTTTAATTATATTTTTATATATATTACTATTATCTTATATTATATTTTATATATAATACTATATCTTGGGATACGTATGTAACGGAAGTAGTGTGGAACATACAAAGCTGTAGTTCTTATTAGATTTGGCAATTCTGAAAGTACTTCGTAGTGGTTAATATTGTTGTACTGTTGTCGTTATTCAGAGTGAGCGTGATGTTATATAGGGTGTATCATTTTTGAGGTAACAAGGCAAACCAACCAAACCTAAGTAATTTCGACGGTTGTAAAAAGTTTATCGTTAAACCGAGTGTCCGTTATAAAGAGTTCACACTTCATTTTAATTCATCGTCATTTGGAGGGCTGTTGTTTTTTCATTAATTACTTCCGTTTAATTCCTATTCAGTCTTTTTAATTCTTCGTCTCCATTTTTTATGTGAGAAAGTGTCAAACGAGCTGGCGGTTCACCTGATGTTAAGTGATAACCGCCGCCCATGGAAATTTGTAACAACCGTAGGGTTGCAGATGCGTTGCCGCCTTTAAATAAAGAGGGCTCCTGCTACCTAAGCAACCAGATGAAACGCAGAAGTGTAACACTTCTACTTTACGCCTGTCTTCTGTGAGATCGTGGTACTTACCCGGACGGACCGCCCATTCGTGCAGAAGTGAACACCGTTGCATGGCCCTACTACGTTTATTCCTTCGCAAAAATTTGGACATGTCCCGAATAAGTCTCACCGCATGGTGAGCCCAGCGTTTGCAGCACGGCCGATTGCGTGAGCCGTCGGCTCCTCGCAAGTTCATCGGCCCGTGGCACGGAACCATCCTGTCGTGACGAACACTTGCGGAGCGTTTCTTTAGCACTTCCGAGTCAACAGTCCTTTTAAACGCTCCAATGACCCAGAGCCAAATCGGATACAGCGATAGACATATGAGCACTGCGTTTGTCAAATTTTAAGCGAAAGTCGAACACATAGGAGCACTGTGTTTATCAAATTTTATATTAAGTTACTAAAGTATTAAATAAATTGTAGATCATTGTCGCAGACTCAGTTTAATTACGCCGCCATAAGCGTTCGCGTCAAATGACTCCGGACCTAAACACCTGTCACTAACCCAATTTAGTTTAATACCTCTTAAAGAAGTTTTGAAATGTAATCCGAATTGCAGATATTCCGTTCAGTATAATTGGTATACCCGACAGTCATATCAGTCTTATTTCTCTCTCAAATACGGTGCCAAGGTTCAGGCTAGGCGCCCCGTGCGCCAGGCCACCTCAAGCCCGTCGGAACTGTGAAGGCCCCTAAGGCCAACAGTGGCACACCCAAAAAAAATCTCAAATACTATCTTAACATATATGCATTGATATCGATGAGCAAACCAAATATTTATCATAACCTTTGAAATAAGAAAGTTACGACATTAGCGCCTAAATTATCTATGGTCGGTTTCGATAAGAAAACAGCTGGTGTTGTTAGGGGTAAGTGGTAGAGTTATTGCAACACATCCGAGATGTGGCAGTTATGGTTCTTTAATTTAAGTATGTTTATAGAGACTACATTCTTAATTCAAAACTATAAATCAATTTTGCATGGTTTTGTAAATCAAACCCCGGAGAGTGCCGACTTTGCCAACAAACAAGATACATAAGTGCATAATGCGCGAAAAATCGATTCGTCTACTGACGGTGAGATGATACGGAAAGTAAGGAGTCTGTCTACTGTGGTAGCGTCACATATGTTTCGGCTCTTACACGAATGTTAAACTAGGGCATGTCCATCCGGGGAAATACCGCAACCTCACAGGAGACCAGCGTGAAGTGGTACTACGCTTACGCTGTTCTTCTGGTGAGTGGGGTAACCGGGCCCCACTTTTAAAAGTTTTCAACGTTACTTCAAGCCCTCAGTTGCTGTATGTATCCATGGGCGACTGGAATAACCTAGTGTCCGATGAACCGCCTGCTCCCTTGACAACTTTACACAAAAAAGGATGAAACTTTGATTCCACTGTAGTTATTTAAACCTGTCTCAAACACTGTTCAACAAATTTAGTGTTGGCATTAAAGCCTTGCTAGCTCAGTAGCCGGGCTCTCGCTTTATTTCATTATGCTCAAGCAACCTGACATCAAATTTCGGTGCCAGCACCAATTATTTTTATTAATTTAAATGCTTTATCACCTGCTCAGTGGTGAAGAAAAATATCGCGAGGATACCTGCATATTTTTTAAACAATAACAAAAAAAGTATGTCTGAGTAATATAAAAGTAAATTCTACCAATCCGCAGTGGGGTCGTGTGCTATGCCCTAATATCCTCTTTATAGAGGAAGCCTTTGTCCAGCAGTGGGACATGTATAGTCTGTTACCTCACTTTTTTTAACAAGCCAGATAATAGTACAGTATTAATCTTTACTATCCCTACTAATATTATAAACCCCAAAGATTGTATGTATGGATGGATGTTTGTTACTCTTTCACGCAAATACTACTGAATGGATTTTAATGAAACTTTACAATAATATAGCTTATACATCAGGTTAAGACATAGGCTATAATTTATATACATATTTTATGTATATCTGTCTTTCTGTCTTAATGTTACACCTTCCGCCTATTCTACGCAGACGTAGTCGCGGGCAGCAGTTAGTCTGTTATAATTTTACCGTTTTTTAAGCGAAAAATGTACATAAATCGGCTTTATATAATAGGGCTCGGGAATGAATTTAATACGTAACCATAATAATAACCGTGACAGCTCAGTGACTGTCTGCTTGCATTGAAATTCATAATGCTCCAGCAATGGTTCAAATCCGGATAACGGCACCAACTACGTTTCTTTACGCTGGGCACATGAAGATAAGTGCCGTGAGTTGACCTCAATAAATAACCAAAAACTTTGTTTTGCATGATATTTAATAACTATACCCTATATTAAGTAACTATTTTCCCGGCTGTGGGATATATTTGTATGGAAATTACTTAATCTATTCTTAATAATCTTATGATTTATACTGCTGCGGAATATAAGACCCCCAAGGATCTCCAGAGATCTCTATCGGGGCAGATGTATGGTACTAATGATAAAAAACTTCCTAAATCAAATGTTAAGAATCAACGTAAAAAAATAAATTTGTCTATTACATCCAAACCGAGAGAAACAAATCACGATTATAGCTGAAGTTTAATAGTAGTCGTAGAACATACAAGATAGTTTCTTTTATTTAATTGAGCAGTAATAACTCCCGCCATGCTTTTTTTAATGTCTTAATTAACAATTGGAATCCTAACCCTTTTAAAAGTTTATTGTATCGAAAATGGCAGTTCAACAAGTTCAACAAGAAGGATGTATCAATATTTCGAAAACAGATAGTAGTGCCATTGCCACAAAACACTAATATTCGAAATGTCGCTCTAAAAATGAATCACTTTTAAAATTCTACAATATCCATTACTTGGCACATCACGGAGTGTCTCCCTGCACCGTTACTTACCACAAACGCTTGCCTATTTCATACTTTAAACACATATATAATACGAAAACAAATTAACAACCGAAAACGATTAGGACGATAGACCAAATGGCGTTATCCGATCAGAACGCGCAAAGAGGATAAAAATTCACTCACCGATCACTAGGCAGAGGGACAGAACGGCCAGCAGCAGATATTTCGGCATCTTTGACAAAGCACTGGGCACTTAATACATGTTGAGTGGGCACGTGCGCCCACAGCGGTTGCCGGTCGCGATCTGAGTGTCACTGGGGAGGTCCCGCCGTCTCCCCTGTACCCCTCCAACCCCCAAACCACCCCTCCCCGTTTGGTGGGCCGCCCTATTGACTATTGTTACTTAGTTCGCAATTAATTTTTGCCGTAGCCTCCACGGTGTAACGAGCTTCTAATGAGAGGCTCGTAAGTAGGGCCGTGACGTATGTACACGTAAATATATGTATGTGGAGAGAGAGTTGTGCAGGTCAAGGAACGTCTGTGGTTTAATGCCATTATAATGTTGGTCATTACTCCAATGGTAAATCACTCTAGAAATTGATCGCTCCAGGTTCTTACAAGCGGACTTAAACATTTATACGCTGAGTTTCATTCCGTTTTTCTCAGATCAGGCTTTTCTTCCGAACCCGTAGAAATATTTTGACAAACAGTTAGTGTAATGCTTTTATATAGAAAAAAGATATTGGAATATGAATTTTACAAGTAAATTTTTTTAAACGTACTTTATGAAATACTTTAAATAGGAACGCCGTATAGTGCTTTATCTTTTTCTAACTTAATTCAAAGTACTCGTCAGAGTTTGTTATTATTCCTTAAACACTATTCAATAGATATTATATCTACACGACCGCAGTATTTTTACTGTTATGTAAACATTATAAAGTTTTGAGCTGATCTAGTTTCTCGTAATCGCATGCTGTGGGGACACGCAATGGCCTTCACTGTTGCACAAATGGGCAGGTCCGTTCGAGAAAGTACCACGACCTCACAGAAGACCAGCGTAAAGTGGAAGTAAGACAAATACTTTCGCGTTTCGTCTGGTGAGTGAGGTGGCTGGAGCCCAATTTTTAAAAAGTTGTCAACGCATCTGTAACCCTCGGGTGTGGCAGATGTTCATGGGCGGCGGTATTCACTTAACATCAGGTGAACCGTCTGCTCGTTTGACAACTTTTCGCATTAAAAAAAAACCACGACCTCACAGACTACGTGTATTGCAAGTACTACTCTTCTGCGTTTCGTCCGATGAGTGAGGTAGCCGGGGCCTAATTTATAACTTTATATATAGCGTGTTGCAAATGTCCATGGGCGGTGGTTATCACTTATCATCAAGTTAACCGCAAGTTTTCCGCTATCTGACAGAAAAAACAGTTAAAAAAACACAAAAGCTATGCTTGAATAAATCATTTGGACATTCATAAGAGCTTCAAAATGATTTTACTTTGAAAGTGGATAACAGTTAACTGGCTACACTCTGGGTGAAAAACATGAGTGTTTACATATGTACGGATATTCTAATGATTTATTTACTATTGATCCTTGAACTCAGTTATAAAGTCTATACAGTATGGAATGTCTAAAAGCTTTTACTTACAGGATATTGCTTGAATAAGTCTTTCGTCTCACTTAACAGTTTTCTCCGAAGTCAAACGTATTTCAGATAATTATGACAGCGGAACAGTTAAGTGAGATCGATAAAGATGGATTACACCAAAACGAGTTTAATTTCGTCAGGGAGAAATATCCATAACGGACAAAAAAAGCATATCTGTTGCACTATGGAATGCAATAGCAAATTAATAATAAATAGTTAAATTTAAAAGGATTGCTAGTGATATTGATAAACCAAATTATTTTTCTTTTTATATAAAATATTAAACATATAGATAGATAGATAGATAGATAGATAGTCTTTATTTGTAAAAACATGGTAAACATACATTGCATGCAAGATATTAAATATACATTGTCCTATCATGTCCAGGCCGTATCACGGCATACAAATTGGTTACAAGAGATGGTGCATTGACCGCAATATTGTTTATTATAAACTATTTTATATTTATACTATTGCCAAATATAATATCATGTCTTTATTCAGTCATAATAAAATTAATTACGAAATTGATTAATAAAATTGTTACAATAAATAATGTCAATATTAAAATAAAAAAACAATTTACAATTTTTAGTACATAATATAATGCAAATTAAATTATATTAAAATAAGAAGTAATTTTGAATATTACGAAAAATTGTCTTCCTTCAAAAATTCTAAGATATTGTAGTATGCTCGATTAATTAAAAAATTCTTTAATTGTCTTTTAAGATCAAGAGTACTTAATTCTTTCCACGATTTGGGCAATTTGTTAAATATTATCGGTGCCATGCAAAAGATGCTCTTACGCATAAGAGCAGTTCTAGCGCCATGAAGGCCTGAACTAATCACGACTATTCCTAGGTGCTACATCAGATAAACTTGAAAATAAATTGGAATTAGACCTAATAAACATAACTGTTTCTATGATGTATAATGCGGGCAAAGTCAATATTTTAAGTTCTTTAAAATGTGATCTGTTTTAAGTGCTAGCATTGATCGAATGCATCTCTTCTGCGCCCGAAAGGCCATTTCAATGTTTGTGCTGTTGCCCCAAAAGATAACTCCATATCTTAGTGTTGACTCTGCTAACCCATAGTAGGCTGTGATTAGCGCATCTCTGTTAAGAACCACTGCAAGTTGTTTTAGTGCGTACGCTACACTACTTAATTTTTTGCAAACTGTCTCTATTTGAGTTTTCCAATTTAACTTATTTTCTATTACTAAACCTAGAAATTTTGTTGTGTCAACTTCATTAATATTATTATTATCACAATTAATATTAAGATTTTCAAATTTATTTATATGTATTTATCCATAGAGAACTTTGTGTTACGCATATTTAAAAAGAATTATGAAATAACATTTCCATTCTTCAGAGGATATTTCAACATTAGTGATATTACATCGATCCTTAAATATGGGTATCTGATTTTTAAAATATAGGTAACAACGTTAAAAACTATAAGGAATTCGAAAATATTCACATTTTTTTTGTATTCAAAACTAACTAACAATTAAAAGGATAATATATGTACGTGTTAGGGGCATGCCCCCTAACCGCCTAACCATATCCATGGTCTAAACATAGGTTGATTCCTCCCAAGGATGATTCGCGAGGCTACTGAAATTAGAAAACAAAACCTAATTTTAATAGAAGGAAGGCTTTTAAGCTACCATCAGCTCGAGATCCTATGATTAATAAAATTAAATTTAAGCGCGAACAAACCACTACTGCAAGACAGCTTACTTACGTATTCTACTCCTCAAAAGTAAATAATAAAATTACAACAATGATTCTAAATTTAAAATGAGCATCGTAGTCAACACACAAATAATAAAATAAAAATCGCTAATCGCTGCAAAAGCTCTTGATAAGCTTATCAGCGCTCGTAATGAAATTAATAACTAAATGGCATCTGATAACGTAAATTACGGCACTAACCCAGTTCAATTAATTTGTAAAAGTTAAAGGAACGAATACACTGACCGTCATTTGTTTCGATATTATGAAGAGACTGCGACGTACCCCCTACATCTTCCACGTTGATCTCGGAATAACAAAATCAAACAATTTCACTGATTTTATCCCCTTTAATTGTTTAGTACCTGGAGGACCTTTTTATTGGTAAACCGTGTATTTTGGAAATAAAAAATAAAAATTAAAGACAGCAATGCAATTTAATAATTCGGAAAATGTTCATGTTTAAAGAATGTACTATTTTAAAATTTTTTTCATCTATATGTGTCTTCATTTATTTTCGCGGTTGTAAAGACACGCTGTACATGTATATATATATGTACAGCGTGTGTGTGTATATATATATATAATATATACATACTCGAATTGCTCGTTTAAAGGTATTAGATTAGGGTTCGGTACACAAACGGTAAAACGGGACCACGGGACCCTATTACTAAGATTCCGCTGTCTGTCAGTTTTCACAGATTATGTATTTCTATTGCCGCTATAACAACAAATACTAAAAAATGGAATAATATAAAATAAAAACATTAAAGGCATTACATTCAACATCCCATAAAACAGACATGATTTTTTTTTTCCAGTTTTTATAGATAATGATACGGAACCCTTCTTGCGCGAGTCCGACTCGCACTTGGCCGGTTTTTTTAATTCCGTACGTTTTAGACGCAAAGTAATTTAGTTTAGCAAAAGACTGTACATTTCCCACTTACATAGCCCATTACAGAGCCCATATAAACGACCCCACTGAGGATTGGCATAATTGATTTCACATGTCTGTTATTTTCCTCCACCGATGAGCAAGTGATATATTAAAAGTAAAGTAACAGCTATACATATCCCACTGCTGGGCAAAGGCCTCCTCTATACAGAGGGTATCAGGGCATAGTCCACCACGCGGCCCCACTGCGGATTGGCAAACTTCACATATCTTCCAAAAATTTTTTTTGTTATTTCGAAAATATGCAGGTTGCCTCACGATGTTTTCCTTCACCGTTAAGCACGTGATTAAGTCAGCACTTAAAATTAACTTTCATTGGTGCCGGCACCGGGATCGAACTCAGGTTGTTCGAGTATATTGAATTAAAGGAGAGCGCCCGGACACTGAGCTATCACGCTCCTGCTATATTAGCAATTAAAATTGCAATTAACCATTTAGTTGGTGCCGCCGTGGAGGTTCTAACTATAGTTGCTCGAGTACACCAACGAATACTGTAGTTAAAAGCCATTGCCTAGACACCGAGCCATCGCGGCCTCAACGATTTGGGGATTATCGAATTGAATGTAACGCATGTCGCAGTCCTAAAGTTTGATCATGAACTATTCTTTCACTTACTATTATTCACGTCAACTATAGGTACCTTTTTTCAACGATCTTCTCTATATTTTATTTTAAAAAAATACTCGATGACCAAAAACCATTTAAAGGTTTTTGTTATTTACATAAATCTAACGTGTCTTTTTGACAATTTTTATTAGAAAATTCATTTCGGTTAGTTTTTTTGCCCAAGCTCAGTATGACTAATAACTACTACTAACATATAACTATAACTAGTACTAATTAACTATATCGTACTATAAGAAAGTTATAAAA